TGCCTCAGGCGGCCTGTGAGCAGGGCTGGGCCTGGAGCTGCCCCAGGGCCGTGCCATGGTCCGTGGGCCGGGCAGGGGCCCCGGCAGGCAGCCTTTGTCTCTGCTGTGCTCACCCCAAGTGAAGGAGATCGAGCCATGTCAGCAGTTGGCACAAGGCGGGCCTCCTTGTGAGGCTCTGGTGGTTGTCAGTGCTGGCTGCAGAGGAGCTCTAGCAGAGCCCTGGTTTTGCTGGACAGTTGCCTTCAACTGAGTTACAGGGTCAACACAGTAACTGTTCTGTTGTGTTTGTGTTGTAAACACCTCTGAAGCCTTGCTCCTTCCACTTCCATGATCTGCTTTCCTGCCTCTTTTACCACAGAAGACTAACTCCCACCATGCGTATAATAACAATAAGTATCCTATTACATTCTGGAGCCATATTCTGTAATTAAATGTGTGCAGATGACTGGCTGTGTTTATACCAGGACTATGCATGTTTATTAGTAATAACCTGAGATTTGTTGAAGGTGTGACTTAGTTTCTGTGGTTAGGATTGTGGCTTGCAGTCTTAAAGCAATATGTCTATACTCTGTAGTTTATGTTGAAGTGTATCTGGGGTCTTAGCATGGAACAGAATGAAAATTTGAATTTGGAAGGAGGACCTAAACAGCAAAGTATTCTATTAAGAACAGTAAATCCCTTGAAGTCAGGGAGTATTTGTACCCTGGGATTTTATTTTTTTTCCATTATAGCCATAGAATCAAGCTATTCATTATGGATAACAGTCCCAATTTGTATTATAATTCTGTGCCTCACTCACAATGAAGGATTGGCCAGAATGATATGCAGATCCTTGACCTCCATGATGAGCAGATGCAAGAAAGGAGGCAAAACCTGCCCTAAATGAACAGTCCCATAGCTGATGGTTATGGACGTGGTGCTTTAGACCCCTTGCAGGCCCCTTGAAAATAGGTGTTTCCCCACGTTGTCTTCCTTCAGGTGGAGCTATGTAGTCCTATCACTCTGAGATTGCATCTGTCTGCTGCACTCAACCTGTTTGCTATCTGTGTATCTATTTTAACTCCGGAAAGCCTGGCCGTGTGCATTTTTTGTCCCTATTACAGGAGCCAGTGGTATTGGATAATTAAAGTAGCTCAGACGTAGCTCTTTCAAAATAAGTGTATTATTTATTCACTGAAAAATGTACAAAAATCAGGGGAAAATATGTACTTATTTTCCTATCAAGCTTATGTAGGGTTTCTTCAGTGAAGCCATCTCTGAGTTGGGAGAGACATCTAGCCAGCTGTAATTCATGGGTGTCTGCCTATTTTCCTGTGTGATTTTCATTACTCATTAGGAGTCCTTGGTTGTTCGTGACAACTAACCCAATCCAATCCCCTTCTTTAATAAGGCTGGAGGTGTTTTGTTTTTTTTTCTTTTTGCTATTTACTATCCCATTTGATCCCAACCTCAGATATTGGAGGGTCAAGCTGTAACAGCTTGGTTAGCCCTCCCTGATCATTAGTCTTCCTAAAACAACAATGGTCTTTGCACTGCACTTTTTCTTATGCCATGCTGCTTCCTCTTGATGTCTTCTCAGTCATCTCTGAATTTCTGGCAGAATATCACCAAGCAGATTAATTTGTCCACATACAATATTTGTAAATAATTATGTGCATACTTTCCTTATTCGTCATACACTGCTAAGGGAAGTGGACTGATGGTAGAGAATGAGCATAACTGCTTCCAGGATAGCTCCCCACCACATTTAGGCATGTAGATATAGAGAAGGACTCATGCCTTCACAGTCTTGCATGAAGGCTGCCTGATTCCTGGCCTGATACAGGACTCAGAATCACAGAATCTTAGGGGTTGGAAGGGACCTCGAAAGATCATCTAGTCCACCCCCCCTGCCAGAGCAGGATCACCTACAGCACATCACACAGGAACGTGTCCAGGCGGGTTCTGAATTGTCTCCAGAGAAGGAGACTCCACAACCTCTCTGGGCAGCCTGTTCCAGGGCTCTGTCACTCTCATACTAAAGGAGTTTTTTCTGATATTTACGTGGAACCTCCTGTGCTCCAGTTTGCTTCCACTGCCCCTTGTCCTGTCACTGGACATCACTGAAAAAAGCCTGGCTCCATCCTCCTGGCATTCCCCCTTAATGTATTTATAAACATTGATGAGGTCACCCTTCAGTCTCTTCCAAGCTCAAGAGACCCAGCTCCCTCAGCCTTTCCTCATAAGGAAGATGTTCCACTCCATCATCTTTGTGGCTCTACTCAGAGAAGTAAAAAAATGTCAGCCCTGTCTCAGCTAGCTCAAATGTGTGCAATCAGTGTTCCTGAGGTTTTGCTTACTTCAGGGGTGTGACAAAAACCAATGATAGCTTCTGTGACCATATTTTCAGCATCAAAATTCCTTGTCCACTGTGTTGCGGACTTGGCTATATCCTTGATCATGAAAACATGTTTTGTTTTTTTTTCTTTTTGCTATTTACTATCCCATTTGATCCCAACCTCAGATATTGGAGGGTCAAGCTGTAACAGCTTGGTTAGCCCTCCCTGATCATTAGTCTTCCTAAAACAACAATGGTCTTTGCACTGCACTTTTTCTTATGCCATGCTGCTTCCTCTTGATGTCTTCTCAGTCATCTCTGAATTTCTGGCAGAATATCACCAAGCAGATTAATTTGTCCACATACAATATTTGTAAATAATTATGTGCATACTTTCCTTATTCGTCATACACTGCTAAGGGAAGTGGACTGATGGTAGAGAATGAGCATAACTGCTTCCAGGATAGCTCCCCACCACATTTAGGCATGTAGATATAGAGAAGGACTCATGCCTTCACAGTCTTGCATGAAGGCTGCCTGATTCCTGGCCTGATACAGGACTCAGAATCACAGAATCTTAGGGGTTGGAAGGGACCTCGAAAGATCATCTAGTCCAACCCCCCTGCCAGAGCAGGATCACCTACAGCACATCACACAGGAACGTGTCCAGGCGGGTTCTGAATTGTCTCCAGAGAAGGAGACTCCACAACCTCTCTGGGCAGCCTGTTCCAGGGCTCTGTCACTCTCATACTAAAGGAGTTTTTTCTGATATTTACGTGGAACCTCCTGTGCTCCAGTTTGCTTCCACTGCCCCTTGTCCTGTCACTGGACATCACTGAAAAAAGCCTGGCTCCATCCTCCTGGCATTCCCCCTTAATGTATTTATAAACATTGATGAGGTCACCCTTCAGTCTCTTCCAAGCTCAAGAGACCCAGCTCCCTCAGCCTTTCCTCATAAGGAAGATGTTCCACTCCATCATCTTTGTGGCTCTACTCAGAGAAGTAAAAAAATGTCAGCCCTGTCTCAGCTAGCTCAAATGTGTGCAATCAGTGTTCCTGAGGTTTTGCTTACTTCAGGGGTGTGACAAAAACCAATGATAGCTTCTGTGACCATATTTTCAGCATCAAAATTCCTTGTCCACTGTGTTGCGGACTTGGCTATATCCTTGATCATGAAAACAGGTCACAGGGACTGAGCAACTGTGATAAGCTTTCTCAAAAGATGAGCAACTATTTACAGTCCCTACCTTAGGGTTGAGATCTATAATGAAAGGGCCATTGGTCCTATGGGACCCTAGGCCACCTGCACAGCACAGTGCCCTGAGAAAGCCCCCCCATCCAGTTGGTGCCTGCGGAGCTAGCTGCACTGTAACCTCAGCAACATAGATTAATGTGTCAGTAATGAGTCACTAACATGAGAGACTACCTGGAGTGAACAACAAAGGGCTCTCTTAGTCTCATTCTGGGTCTGGAAGACACCTGGGAGTCTTTGGTAAGTTCATTTGAACCATCTGCCTTGTCTGCCACAGCTTAGACATGAGGTTAATAGTATTTGCTATAGAAGACTGCAGAAACAGCAAGGGCTGATAGGCCAGAGGAGCTGTGGGTTTGTGTTTGCCCTGCCAGCACCACCTGCTTTAGCATAAGATCTGAAATTCATGATGAGAGAATGTCAGCATAACTGCATGGCTACCCTCCTCCCTCTCCCTTCACCAGTGCCATCACAAGTGAAAAAAAGCCTTGAAATGTCTAGGTTCTGTTTAGATTGTTTAGATACATAAAAGTCTCTGGAGGATGCACAGCTCCAGGTGTCAAAGTCCTTAATTTGTGGGTACTTTCAGAGATTTTCTGAGTTATGCCAGCTATGCACACTGTCCAGCAGAAGCTGAGAAGCTTGGCCATGCAAGGGAGAAGCTGACAGCAGCCTACAGGTCTCATGTTGCAAAGACTGACCCTGCTCTTCGATTGGGAGGCTGAGCTGCACATTCTCCTGCAGTGACTCAGAAGCTGATTCACAGTGAAACAGGCACATTTGCTAAACTCACCAGTCTCCTAGCAGAAATGACACACATACACATGGCCATTCTTTTTTTCTTCTTCATGCAGTAATTTGCAAAGTTTGTAGAAGTGACTATTGGCATGTGTGTCAGATTCAGGGAGCTGTCTTTTCAGTGTGACATCCTTAAACACAGCCAGCACATCCATATGATTTCACATTCAGCAAAAAATAGCAAGGAGTGAAAGTGCTGCAGCAGTCCCAGAACTCTGGGTAGGACTTCTCTGGAGACCAAACTGCAATGTAAATTATCCTGGCCACTCCTTTTCTAAAGAATCCAGCCTATTTTTATGAAACAACTGCATAATAATGTTTCTCTCTCCTGCTCCAACATCAGCCAGAGCCGGGTACTCCCATCTGTTGATTCTCTCAGTGCCTGCTTGTTTTCTGTGAACAGTAAGGGGAATTTGAGACTATAAGCACATTAGCTCTGGGCAATTAAAATACACTGCTTATAGTCAATGCAGCTTATAAAAGTGGATTACACACAACGTTGGGGTTGTAACAAACAGAACTCATCTACCTGGAAAAGAACAACAAGAAAAATAGTGTTTCAACCACTCAAAAATCCGTGATTGTTTATGGGAGTGATACATCAGCATTTTCTAGAGAAAACATATTTTGAAAATCATTAACTGAGTCTTGCATAATGATCACAAGTGGGTTCCTGATTCTGTGCTAGAACAATGTGCTTGCTAAAGATATGAAAATTTAGTTGCATGATTTGAAACGTTACTTTGTTAGATAGGAAGTGGAACACTCAAAAGACACCTGCTGGAGAGCAGTGTAGGAGAAACGGACCTCGGGGTCCCAGTGGACAGGAGGATGACCATGAGCCAGCAATGAGCCCTTGCGGCCAAGAAGGCCAATGGCATCCTGGGGTGTATTAGAAAGGGTGTGGTTAGTAGGTCAAGGGAGGTTCTCCTCTCTCTCTATTCTGCCTTGGTGAGGCTGCATCTGTATATTGTGTCCAGTTCTGGGCCCCTCAGTTCCAGAAGGACAGGGAACTGCTTGAAGGAGCCCAGTTCAGAGCCACAAAGATGATGAAGGGAGTGGAACATTTCCCTGATGAGGAAAGGCTGAGGGAGCTGGGTCTCTTTAGCTTGGAGAAGAGGAGACTGAGGGGCAACCTCATCGATGTTTACAAATATGTTCAGGGTGAGTGTCAGGAGGATGGAGCCAGGCTTTTTTCAGTGATGTCCAGTGATAGGACAAGGAGCAGTGGAAGCAAACTGGAGCACAGGAGGTTCCACGTAAATATCAGAAAAAACTCCTTTAGTATGAGAGTGACAGAGCCCTGGAACAGGCTGCCCAGAGAGGTTGTGGAGTCTCCTTCTCTGGAGACATTCAGAACCTGCCTGGACACGCTCTGTGTGATGTGCTGTGGGTGATCCTGCTCTGGCCAGGGGGTTGGACTAGATGATCTTTCGAGGTCCCTTCCAACCCCTAGGATTCTGTGATTCTATGATC